AATTCAAAGAGGCCCATGACCTATCCATGACTTTTACTAAAAATATGCATGACAAAATGGGGAGCTGAGGGTTCCCACACCACCCCTAGGGACCTGGCTGGGAGCGGCAAGGCACCCCCTTGGCCCCTGGCTCCCAACTGCAGGGCATCCCGCCAGTCCGAAGCTCCCGGGGCACCCCGGCCAGCCGTGGTGGGTCTGAGCTCCCCTGCCCAGGATGGCTGGGAGTTCAGGGCCCCGGAGTTCCCAGCTACCATGGGTGATGGGGTGGAGGCGGGGTGGTGGTGGACGGGGGGAATACCCTGCAGCTCCCAGGTGCTGCAAACTCAAGTCACGGAGGTTTCTGGAAGGCATTGAATCCTTTACTTCCGTGACAAAATCGTAGCCCTACCCATAACCTCTAGGTCAGTGGTTCTCAACCCACGGTCCATGGGCTGCATGCAGCCCAATCAGCACACAGCTATGGCCCATGTGACATCCTCAGGGCCATACAGATATATATATTGTGTGGATGCAGCCCAAACAACACAAAAAAAGCTGCATATACAACCCACAATGGCAAATAAGTTGAGAACCACTGCTCTAGGTACATGCTGCACTCGATGGAGATGTCCAGAGGGAACAGTGCTGCTTTTGTTTATTTCCCCTTTGGAAATTTGTTCCTATAATCTTGCTTTGAGGAGAGACTGGGCTCAGATTGCTCCTACAACTATTTCAAGTGGCTAGCAATCTCTCTGTCCTGCGAGAGGCTGGGTTTGTTGCCTCTCCTTCCCCACACAGACCTGTCATAAAGTTCAAGAATGAACTCCCCAGAAATTCTACCCATCTCTAGCACAAGGGATCGACCTGGGCCTGATAGATCTGCATTTCTCCTGGAGGGCCCAGCCTGGAATATCAGCAGGGAACACTAGGCCTGTTATGGAGATGGCAGCAGCTTTGGTAGAGTCCATGCTTTGTCCACTGTCCTTTATCCATGGCCTGAGAGAATGTGAGGGGGAGGAGACGGCTGAACTCCGCAGTTGGAGGTATGGCTGCTGTAGCAGGCTGTATGGTGCACTGCCCTTTAGGTAATGCTCCACTCACAAAGCCAGTGGAGGGGGAGCGACTTGTTCCTGGAGCCAGTTTTTCCAACCTTGCTTGGCTACTTTCCTGCCTGGGGGAAGGGGTCTGAGATGACCCTGCCTGGAGTGCGCTGGAGAAAGACTACATTCTGCCCACAGAATCAGACAAGCTCACCAAGGAGATACTTGAAGAGGGGGAGAAAGCAGGAGACCTTTTCTTTCGCCTCTGGCTTTTTTTGGCCTAGCTCACTCCCTGAAGACTGCAGGAGCACCAGCTGCTGCAAATGCCTCAGAAGGCAAAGCAGAGCGGAGGGGACAATCTCCCTTAAAGGCAAATCCCACCCTGAGGTACCTGGTAATCAGACCATATTTTATTGAGTTAAAATAAGAAATCTGAAACAGGGTTTGGAATTTCCCCCAGAAAGCTCTGCAGCAAGGCAGGCTTGGGTGAGCCATCTGCTTGTCCCTGGGGAGGCAAATAAAACTGGAGGGCATTTCAGGAAGCAGAGCATTTTCTAGCTCCCAATGACTGACAGGTCAGTTTCTTCCTCATGCTGCAAGCTGGCTGAAGTACCCATCCTCATGGATCTGTGGACCTTAGCACAAGGAAGAAATGTAAAAACAAAATCACCCTTTCCCTCCCTTCCTTGCATTCTATACACTCACTTATTTAAATATTTGGAAGCTGTGAGCAATTCTTATTACATCAGGTATAATGGGAAAAATCTAAACTAAAATAAACATTTTTGGACGTTTTGTAACATACATAAAAAAGCTTCATTTTAAATAAGAAATATTTTGTAATTTTCAAAAAATTAACAAAAGCACAGAAAACATTCCAATCAACCCAGATCAAGAAACAAGAACTGTTCATTATAATTAATGTGTTATAACCTCCAAGCACCACATTCTATAAGCAACTGATCTGCTTCTGACATTCTGCAAATGGACTGGAATGCACATTCAGCTATGCAAAACTAAATCCTGACAAATACGAACACTAAAACATTGAGTTTGTCCCAAGAATGCCCCGTTTGTAGAGATGGACAAGCCATTTGAACAAACAGATTCTCATTAGACTTTACAAACATTATATATTTCGGTACTAGTAATTTGCCTCATCTTAATTTAACAGTAGCTAATAAACTAGACTAAACATTTAACCCAGTCTACTACATATCCATATTATGGAAATTTACAATCTAATAACGTTCAACAGAAGAAAGACTACTACAGAAATCAGTTCAGTGAGAACAGTTCAAACACATAAAACATTCATGTGTCTACTTCAAGTCATGTATCATATGACCTGCTTTTGAAACAAGGAGGCTATTTAATCGTATTAAACAATTAACACAGGATGAAGATATTTTACCAGAAAAAATATTTTATAAATCAATAGGATTTTTGCATGGAGAACCTACTTAGATTAGAATACAAAGACTAGCCCAACAGAAGACCAGCACACGCATAGTCAACTAAGTGTTTCAAGATGCAAGTCTGTCTAAAACTTGATTCTGAGTTTCAAGAATCTATCAATAAAGGAATTTCCAACTTAGGTTTAAACTAATGATCCCTATGGAAAAAACCCACTGAGCAAAGTTTTTGTATCCATATCTGCTAACCAAGTGTGTTTAGAGCTTTGTTCAGTAACAGAAGCTCTACTGAGTGATAGAAGTAGAACACAAAGTTCTTATGCTTATTTCAGATAGGAAAAATTCCTGTTGCTCCCAGGAGCCTGGAGTAAGTTCAAGCTATATTTGAGGTATAGTGTTTCTAGAATGAGCCTAGGGCATAATGGATAATGCTATCTGTAGGAGGAAGCCTTTAGATTTTTATTTATTTATTTATTTTTTAACCGAAGGTGACTAAGAGAGTTACAGGCTTTACTGTACTCCGAACATATGAGGAATCAGCATCCACCCCATTTCTAAAGCATCTATTCTAAATGCTGCACAATGAATTAAAAATAGTGGGCTGCCCAGGAAGCCAGTTTACTGTCCTCCAGACAAAATCAGAGCCCCTTATATATACACATACAGGCACTGAGAAAGAGAGGGAGCGTGTAAGAGCACAAGCGTCGTTTTTTTTAAACTATGATTTGTCTATTCCTCAGAGAGAGGAGTAGGAGCGCAGCTAAAGATTTTTCTGTTGACTGTGTACTACTAAGCTGAGCAGATCTGAATGCTGGTAATGATAAAGTCTGTTACAGAGTGAGAATAAAGTTTTGGGGTACATAAACAGCTCTTCCCACTACATTAGAGTTAAGAGTGAGCTTCCTGGGACTTGGAAACTCTGCCTTAAATATTTAGCCAATTTATGGGGTAGGACCTGTAACCTGAATTTGAACTTATAAATCATTTGGTTTAGAAAATCCAAAGTCCCGGAGTGCAGAATTCTGTTCTTAATAAATGCACACAGCTCGCAATTTTTTCAGTACTGTGTAAACAGTACACAAATCCTGCTGGATTTTACTGATGGTTCTTCCAATCTGTGTTTGGGAATTTTTCGAGCATGGGCTTAAAATGGGGCATAAATTCCTCTCTCCTTTACATGTAAGTGGCCTTTCAGTGTGAAATTTCATAACGTGTTAGTTTTATGCCCTTTGAATTTTCTGTTAAGTTTTTGATTCATTTCTTTTCGTATATTTTTTAATAGAAGGTGCCTGAATTTGATCCATGGCTGAAATCAAACTGTGGCAGTTTGGTTTTTTTGTTGTTGACTCGTATCTTTTTAAAAACTGGGATAGAGATGAACTTGGGAGTAGATCTGGTGCAACAGGTAGTTTTAAAAAGGGTATTTAGAGTTATTTTAACTATTAGTCATAACTATAAGAACTATGTTATTATTATAACTACGTTTACACACCGAAGTGTGTAAAATCTTCTCAATCATACACCAAATATTTTGCCAGCAGTTACATTCTTCTTTCACATGTAACCCTACAATGGAGAAAGTTTTACGTATCAGCTGCCAACAGAGATTTTGTGCACTAGAAAAGTGCAGCTGCTGGCTGATGACGGCTTCTCTATCAGACACTGCAACTGTGTCAGAGCTCCTGGAACAGCCAGCATAGGGTCCATACCTCTTGCTCAAGACCAACTCCCTTGATCAAACATTTAAACATTAGGAAATTAATACACTAAAAGCTTCACTGGGAAACAGTGTGGCTCCATACATACCACACATGACAAAAACTACAAAAGCTAGGAAATAAAAAGTTAAACTACCCAACAGCGCATACCCCATACCCCGCCCACGAGCACATACCTTCCTTTCATCACAACTACCATACACTTCAGTCCATGCCCCCATAACTTTAACTCTATATACCTAGGTATGCCAGCCTTCCATCACCCACTTTAACATACTACCTGCTCCCAGCACAGCAAACTACTATGTTAAACATCTACACCTAATAGTGATGAAACAGGGTGTTTTGGTAAAGGTATATTAAGAACAACAGATTGAGGGAACAGAGTTACGGTTGTGGTATGTGTGATGTACAGTAGTTGTAACAGCTGCGTGTCTTTCTCTAGGTGGAGGAGGAGAAGATATGTACTGTTATGTGGATTAATTTTTCATTTCCTTGTTTTTGTGTCAGATATACAATGTATGCAACAACCTTAATTGTTTCACAATGAAGTCTGTGTATAAATACAGAACAGTGGGAATACACAGCACAGAAATAAGCATCTCTTTCCTCTTCAGTTTCAGTTGGAAACTTCACAAAAGGAAACAGTGTAACTGCTAAGCAAAACACCGACTTTCACCACCTCTGCTCTCCTAAAGTATTTGATCCTTCAGGCACTGATTGTACTTTGTTCAACACAAAGTATATGTATGAGCAGCTAACCTTTCTCCGAGCAGGGCTGGGGCAAGTTAATTATAGCATACCACTCACTCACTACAGAACAGTTTGCACACTATGTTGGTACATACCGATCATCATCATCTGCATGAGCATTAGTGCCAGAGGTACTTTGGAGAGTGGGTAATCCCTCAGTAACCCCTTCATCTATTGAACCTGGGGAAGAAAAAAGGAACATCAATTTGCAATTTAATGCAAGTAAAAGTGCTCAAAAAGTGGGAAACTACATGTGGGCTCGCAAGATCAGATGCAACACAAACCGTAAAAATAAGAACACTGAATTCTATATTGATTTTATCCTTCACAATACTGCCAACTAATAAAACCTAGTGCAAAAAAGGTTCATTTGCTGCTAGAGTTTTTATTTTGTGTACTTATCTTTCTGATGGGGCTGATGTCACAGAGTTATGAAAATATCTTCTCAAACATAACAAGTGTTGCTACCAGACTAATATATTTATAAAGGCTCTCTGGCTTGTCTTTCTCCAGTATTATAAAGTGCTTTTACACACTGTTTAAGTGATACTATATATAACAAACTGCAAAGGAGCAATTCTTGCAATTGCCCAAGTAGCGAATGAGAGCTCTTTACAATATAAGAAAAACAGGCAGGGGAGCTTTTATAAATGCATTATAAAACACTGAGATAAATACATGTAATTTTAAAAGGGTAATGTGTGTGTTCAGGAAAGAGAACATTGTGTTTTAACACACCTCCTTGCCCCCAACAGTTACTGCTATACTGGATCATCCCTAATGTTGTGATGGTGTGCAAGGCAATACCTCTTTAGGAAATAAAGGAGGCTTAGAGTGTGGCCTGGGCTGCAACTGTGCTTTATCATACCTTTGGTACAGTGCAAACCTTCTAAAACAAGGAATTTGCACTTCTTTAGAATACAGAAAAACAGGAATATAATCTATAATCTATGGTATAATAATGCTGTGCAAACAACGCTAAATGTAAATTCAAATACACTGATACCTTAAGGGCCCTTTATGCCAAATGGCAAATGGAACACAACATACAGTTGTCAAAATATTTAGCCAAACAGTTTGGGTAAGGTATCATATAAAAAGAGGTGACATGCTGGTCATATTGTGTGATCTATGTACAGGTTGTATATAAAGAGTTATGTGTATGGGCTGGAAATATGTTCTGGAGGCAAGCCTGGCTTAGACAAAGGAATGTGGATTTACCTCTCTGCAGAGAGATGTTTCTGGTGAACCTGTGTTCACTCTATTACCTGCAAGGCAAGGCAAGGACTGGCAGTGTCTCAGGGAGTTTGCTGGTGAGGCAGACCGATTGGTGCAGCAGGGAACTGTCTCTTAATCTAAACTCCAGCAAAACTCTCTCTTGCTAAAGCAGAGGTTAAGAGTGGCTTAAAGCTCTAGGTGCTCTAAGGAAAGCATCACACATGCATCATTCAGGCCAACTTTTTTGTATCTGCAGCCATGAAGGTGCAGCAGCATGCTATACTGAACTATCCTCAAAGCTTACAGACATTTAATTTTAGACTTTAGAGCATTTGGTTAAAATGATGGTCACTAATGCAGTACACAAAAACAAGGCACAAACCCCAAATTCTCTTTTTGCGGTGTAAATATGGATAGGGAACATGCCCCGCAGTGGCAACAGACCCAGAAGGGTAGAGATCAAAGGGTTAGCACTATAAGGTGACATTTTCAAAGCTGCTTCTCAGTCAATGTCATTTCACGGTTAAGGATTCTGGCTAGGTCAATCTTTGGCAAAAGGAACTCAGTCACACACATTATCAGGGGCTGATCACTAGCGTACGTTCAGTGCATTTGTTCAGTTCTAAGACTTTCTTAGAAAAGAACATTTAGGCCACTCACTGGAGTCCCTCTCTTTATGATCTAGTGCTAGTCTCATTCTTATATTTCCATTCGTCCCATTCTCCTATGGTTAAAGATTACTTTTTTATGTTGGACACATATTTTTATACGCTGCTACTTTTGGAGTGGCTTAGAACAGATATCTAATGTACCTTTCCTCTGACATTTTCTATACAGATCACACTGAATCCTGATCAAAAGGAAGCAGCATAGTTAGTTGTCTTTCAGGCTGCTTGAATAAGAAATACAAGTGGGTAAAACTTTTCAGTATGATTTTTTTCTTGACCCTTAGTTTCATTGTCTTTTTTGGTATGTTGCAGTTTATATTTCTTTCTGATAGATACATATATATCTCAAAATAGTCTCCTGCCACTTCACACAACTGATCACATGTCCTTGGCAATACAATGTGTTAAGGACTAGGTCAAATTGCACGTTCAGTGAACCAGTATTTACTCACACTTTTGTGGCTACTACTCAAAGGGGATTCACAAAAACTGTGTCTGTAAATCTCCAGTAAGCAAAGCAGTTTAGATTGGGCATAAATGCTACCAATGTAGAATGCTATCATATGAGCTATAAAAAATAAAGACATACAAAAAAATAGCAATATACGAAGAGTGGAAGCATGTACTAATATGACAAAGTTCCTGCTTCTTTAGAGCAACTGATATAGTATAATTACAGGTTTCAGAGGAACAGCCGTGTTAGTCTGTATTCGCAAAAAGAAAAGGAGTACTTGTGGCACCTTAGAGACTAACCAATTTATTTGAGCATGAGCTTTCGTGCTCACGAAAGCTCATGCTCAAATAAATTGGTTAGTATAATTACAGTGACCAGATATTTCCTCCTTGAAAGGGTGAGTGAGATCAGCTACCACTCCCTCACGAAGACACAGTGCTATATCCACCAGACAAAACTCTGAGGTAGAGTTAGTACAAGGCTACATTTAAAGTTTTATTAAGTGAAACAGCATTTGGCATGATATTATTTGAATGAAGTTGACCAAACAGTTCTCAAATAAACCAGATTTACTGAAATAATCCTTCAATAAATAGGCTTTATAAATACAAAGGCAAATAGATAATCTGTACAAAATTCTGGCAACCAAACTAGAAATATTGCAAACTGTGTCCAGACTTACTAAAAGCCATTTTAAGAGTCTTTTCTATGCAAAGAGAAAACTGGATTGTTATAGTTATGTCCTCTAAATCAGTGGTTCCCAACCTTTCCAAACTACTGTACTCCTTTAAAGAATCTGATTTATCTTGCGTACCACAAATTTCACCTCACTTAAAAACTACTTGCTTAGAAAATCAGACAAAAAATACAAAAATGTCACTGCACACTATTACTGAAAAATTGCTTACTTTCATTTTGCCTGTATGAAATTTTAGTTTGTACTGACTTCGCTAGTGCTTTTTATGTAGCCTGTTGTAAAACTAGCCAAATATCTAGATGAGTTGATGTACCCCCTGGAAGACCTCTTCATACTCCCAGGGGTACACATACCCCCGGTTGAGAACCACTGCACTAAATATTAGCTATTAATAGATAACAGCTCACTCGAGGAACCCAAAAATGGCTACAAATTGTCATTTGGGAAAAATGTTAGTCTCAGCATTTGGCAGAATAACAGCTGCAATTTGTGATTAAATCCCTTTGAAATGGAAAGATTCTATATATTATGACTGCACTGTTTTGTTTTTGTCTGGGATATTAATTTGACAGCTTTCCACCATTTATTCTGCAACTTATGTTCTTAAGTCTTATAATAAAAGCTCTCTACTATCATTGTACCTACACTGATAAAAGGCTTGATTTTGGCTCAAAGATACCGTAAAGGGAGTTAAAGGTTACTGAAAGCACCAATCTTTCCAAAATGGTACTGTGAATGGACTGTGGCCAAACAATTTGGCACTATTAAGAAAATAATTATTAATAAACTGTTAAAATCACTGCATAGCATTTCGTAAGTCAGAACAAAATACAGTTTCACCAATCTTCTGTGACCTAATTAAAAATTCAAGCAGACTTTCTTACATAAAATCACGAGTGCATGTATGTATACATATATAAAATAGTAGAAGTGGCTGTACCTATAGAGGAAGACTGTGGGCTGATCAGGAGATCTTCCTGAACTTGCTCACTTCCTGGAACTGTCTGCTGATCACTCAGAGAACTCTGGGATGCACTGACAGGCTGCGATACTTCCTCATGAACCTCCTCATCACTTAACCTTTCCACTTTGACACGCACATCTTCTTCAATCACAAGAGGTGAACTGGCCTTTGTGCTCTCACATGTCACATAATCAGTAATTCTTCTGGCTGCTTCAGATGGACCAGGCAGTTCTAAAGTCCTAGAATTCTCTACCTGTTTCACCTTCTCAGACTGAAGCCTTCGATCAATTCCAAAAGGAAAAGTCCAAGGAAAAGCTAAGGAAGAGTCTACTGGTTGATTTCTGGACTCTGCATAGGAAGCTGAAGGATTGAGCACTTGGGGGGAGTTCGTCTGTGTGTTACACTTAAGTGGACTTTCAGGAGACATGACTATGTAGCTTTTGCGCTTTCTTCGGGACTCTCGACAAACAGGAATGGCTCTTTCCACCACACTGCATTCGGAGGAAACCGGAGAAAGGCTGCCATCTCGAGATGTAAAGTTGCAGTTTGCACTGTTTTCTTGTCCTGCATCTAGCACCTTGTCTTGCTGGCTGTTGGGCGTATTCCATAAAATACTCGACTTCATGAATTCTGAGCATGTGCTAGCAACACTGAACATTTGCATGTAGCTGGCTGCAGCCAACACATCAATAATATTTTCTGTGTTGATAGACAGCGTGGCTGTGTAAGCATACTCCAGGAGGGGAATAAAGCCAGTCACTGTCACATGATGCAAATCTAATACACTCTTGCTGTCATCTTCTGCTTGGCCAACTAGCTTAGAGCGGAAGAAGTCACTGCAGGCTGCCAAGACCACCTTGTGTGCCCTGAAGATTTTGTCCTGTACGCGAATGGTGATGTCGCAGAAATGTCCATCATTGCGAAGCATGTTAAGTTTTCCAAGCATCTCCTGGCTGTGAGCAGGGGAATTATGAGTAAACGTTTTTACACCCATTTTTTCACTTTTTGCTGATGCTCTTTCACCATGCAACTGGTCACAAGTGTCCTAAAAAACAGACAAAAAACATTATCTTTTGTCATTTTTATAAAGATATTCTACACTACAAATTTCTACACTGAGAATTAAAGATTAGTGACTTCATATTTGCAGAGACTAATATGAAAGAGAATCTTCCTTTACACTAAAGTCCAGTACATTAGATCTTTTAGAATCCAGACTGTCCCATGGGCCAGGAAAAATTATGTGAGATTATATTAGATTTACTCAACGAGAATGCACTGAGTTATTAATATTTTGTAATAATGCAAACGAAATGTCAAAGTCAGATTATCTGAACTCAGCCAATAATATCACCTTTCACATCTCTGCTGTCACCTGCTCAAAGAAATAAATTGTGATCAGGGTAATTAACAGGGACACTTACCTGTTGAGATGGGAAATATGGTCTTTTAAATTAGTACGTCAATGTAAACCTGTATTTTTGTTTTCTGGAATCTGCTTAGTTATTAGTCTTCAGGGGCTTTGTGAAATGGTTCTGTAAACTGAAGACCCTGACATTAGTTTGGGCTGGGATGCAAATGTGTAGAATCAAACAAACTTCTCAGTGAAGGTTCTAAATAAAAAAGCTGTATGGAGTCCACTGTATGAATTTTCGGAAGACGGAGTTCAAGCTATCAAACATAGAACAGTTTTTGACAATAGCTAAGCTGTGCTGCTGGTAGCGAAGGCAGTGATTGCCTAAAGCTGTTTTCAATACATGATTTTGGACTAGGATGAGAGGTTGTTGAAAATTCCTCCAAAACCAAAATGCATTGTAAACCTCAGAGTACACTTCTGGCTTACCAAATCATATCTACAACGCTGGATTTTACATCTAAGGTAAAGCAAACACAGGGGATATAACATCTTCCTTTGCATATCTATTGCTGAAACAATATAAACACAGGTTTCAGGGTAGCAGCCGTGTTAGTCTGTATTTGCAATAGATTTCCAGAACACTTCCAACTATTTTCTTAGGGACAAATCCTCTCTTTGATGCTAATCTAAGTAAAAAGGCTTGACAATTTCCTGGAGGTGTGGAAGACAGAGAATCCTCTCCTCCAGAATACAGACGAAACAGTCTCAAGACATTATTGACTGTTTGAAACCTACACACCTCTGATTTCACAGGGGAATAAGATGGTCCAGTGACCCCAACTCCTCACTCTGCAGACATGTGGAAAGAGTCCTTGCACAGCGAGGCTCTGTGTGCATCTTCTGCTTCCATCTTTTGCAAGGGAACCATACGACTTCTGCTGCATACACAGCCCTCTGCAGTGGCAGAGGAGGATAGAATTGGTCTCCAAATGAGACCTAGTTTCTGAGGCAGCTTTAATTATGTATTTAATTGTTAAAGGGGAAAACAAGCTATCATTTCAGTTACTTAAGGCCCTAAACATGCACTCCTTTCACGAACACAACTCCCAATTAAAGTAGGGACCCCATTTTCTTCTGCGTTTATAGGCTTTACACAGTTCAGAAGCAGCTGGATGCATAAATAAAGTGCTCCTCCATGTTTAAATATCAGAGACTGAATTATACCTGATTGGTTGACAGGGGTAAGTCTCTCCTCCCTTCTAGTCATATTACCTCCCTCTCACACTCACAAATCTGTACAAGTGGATCTCATGCCCAGGAGGAGTTTTATAAGCTCATGGATGCAGGGGGCTGCCTATGTGAAATAGGTTACTGATCTGGAGCCTTAAAATATACATAAATAGTGGCTATCAGAACCTCCTGGTGAATCTCTCTCATTACTCACTCACTCCACTCTTAAATATGAGCCATATTTCCACCTCACATTATCTTGTTCCTGCCATTTCACTCTTCATATTGCAAACTACTTCAGACAGAGAAAAGTGTTACTCCTTCGGGAGCACAGAATCAACTGACTAACATTAACAGATGCAGTCACATGGCTAATCTATTTCAATAACCGTAAATTATGAGAAAAACGTTAATAATTTATGAAGTCTGAGTCAAATTATGAAGACAACTTGGATTTAAAATGAAATTTCACGCCACTGCGAAGGGAGAAATTAAGCATAAACAAAACACTTGTTAAGTGAAGGTTTCAGAGTAGCAGCCATGTTAGTCTGTATCCGCAAAAAGAAAAGGAGTACTTGTGGCACCTTAGAGGCTAACAAATTTATTTGAGCATAAGCTTTCGTGAGCTACAGCTCACTTCATCAGATGCATTCAGTGGAAAATACAGTGGGGAGATTTATATACACAGACAACGTGAAACAATGGGTGTTACCATACGTCATCCGATGAAGTGAGCTGCAGCTCACGAAAGCTTATGCTCAAATAAATTGGTTAGTCTCTAAGGTGCCACAAGTACTCCTTTTCTTTTTGTTAAGTGAAAGAAATCATATACCAGTCTCATATCTATAGAGGTCTGGAGAGAGATAGCTCCAGAGGCTTAGTTTATGTTTATAGCTTTACTGAAGAACAGGAGAGGCAGACTAGAGTTTATCTGCGGAAGAACCACCAAAAATGAAGAGCTTGGGAGTGGATGGAGTAAGGGAGAACTATTCCTGATGCTACTTTGCAGCCAGGAGACAGAAAAGTAGTAGAGATTCACACCAACAGCAACCTGGAATGGAGTTGGGGTATATGTGTGGCGGAATGGAACTGGAAAAGTTTAATAACTTCCAGCCATAGGACAATATAAGATAAGACCAACTCTGAGAACAGAGCAGGGACAGCACCCTGAAAGAAACACAGGCATGCTGCCCCTTCCCCACGACTGGTGGTATGGGTGATGGACTTCTCACCCCTCATCTCTCAGAAAATTCAATTGTCCCACACACGCAACATGCTACACCACGGTGTTTTTTCAAGTTCAAAGAATAAACCACTTATATTAACTGTAAACATTTAAAATACTATTTTCAAAGAAGTTTAATAGGTTGATGCAACAGCAATTTCAAACTTTCCCTGACATTTTCTTTACTCTTATGGTTTGAGTGAGCCAGTCACACACTACTCTGTTGAAGTGTGACAAGAGTGCCTCAGAATGCCAGAACAAGGAGAATTTTCTGAATTGCCAATTGATGGGTAGTCTGATGATAAATGTTAGGGCACTGGGTTTTCACACAAGTTCAGTTTAATGGATTTTAAATCGAGTTAGAAGTAGGGTAGACCTTGATATTAAATCATTTAAGGTGGCCTCTCTCATTTTTACTGTTTCAAGACTGAAGAAATCAAGCAGTTACTTCCAAAGGAGAAAACAAAGTTAAAACCTCTGAATCAACAAATCACATTTACCAGTTCATGTCCTCTAAAGTACTTATTTTTCAACATCTGAGTTGTATGTAAAACTTGTGTGCCTGGAAACTACAAACATATTTGAAAGTACAAACTGTACAATGTATACTATGAACAAACAATAGGTCCAACTTCAGCATTCTCTATCTTATCCTGCTGGTCCTGTCTCATTACCAATACTTTTGTTTCTCACTTGCCTCCTGCTTTTTAATTTTTCTTTATACCTTAAGAATATCATCTTTTGTGACACGAGATTTATAGTGTGAAATTGGTTCTCTCTTTAAAGGTGACACCATGGGCCAACTTCACCAGTTGTGCCTCCTTACAGCAAAAGTGGATTTAGCCCTATAACTTCAAAAATACACAAAAAATATTCAAGCTGTTAGCTTTAGCTGACAGGCCTCCCATTTACACTGGACCAAGAACACTATTTGCTGAATTTCCTTTAAAACACTGTTCTAAGCCAGCTCAGTAGCCCTTTTTGAGCCTCAGTGTGGACAAACCTATGGTATTTAAAAAAAAAAAAAGAAGTAGGGGAGGGCAGTCCAACACTGCAAGGTCTCCTTGCATACAATTACTTCAATACGAAATATTCACTCTGCTGTAATGGAATCTATGGAATGCAAACCTGTCACTTTTAGAGGTAATGAGTGAATACATCAGGGCACTGAGCCATCAAGATACAAATTCAATGTTTTAACAGCCCCATCTGTGTCAGTACCGCATACTTAAAATCACAAGTGTCCAGCAGAATTACAGTTAAGTTATTGCCATAAATGCCAGTTACATTAAAACCTGAAACACGTGTTGAGCTGCAGTATTTCCACGCATATTGAAGAACTTACATCAAACAGACAACATGCAACAAACAATGGCTGAACGCAAGTTAAAGACATCAAACTACAAGTTTGGGGATAGTGTTGATTATCACAGCTTTCATAATCAGTCTGACGAGGCTACACCAGTTGCTCCACAGATGCTATATTTCTTTTACGACAGAGCTTGGAACTGTTATAATCAAGGATATTAGGTCTAAAAATTGATCTACCTTGAGAGTTGTCATGAAAGTAGTCCTTACTTTGTGAAGGCCATTGAAAATTTATTTCTGCAATAAACTACCATCTCTTGGCTTAAATAGTGATCTTTCACAAATCACCTTGCTGAAAGTTTTACATAGAGACACCATATACAGCACTTAGTTTACAAGAATCAACAGGGCTCAGCACCAAAAATATTAAATTTTTGGGGTGGGGGTAGGCACAATGTAACTCACAAAGCAGTACCTTTAAATTGTACTTGAAGCAATATCTATACCATTGTTATCTGAACGGTAAGAAACTCAATCCTTAGTTTGACTATTGAACATATCAGTGTCTCTACACACAGATCTGCTGTTACACTCTGTATCCACACCAGCACTACACTTAACCTTTTCAGCAGCAATGCCTTCTGGAGCTGCATCTCAGAGTTCCCAACACCACAGCAAACTGCGGTGCCTCACGGATGACTACACAGGCCTCAGACTTTTGCAACTGCTCAGGGAAACTGCACACAGAGGGGTTAGTTTCTCAACTCCTATAACCTGTCCTGGAAAAATCCCAAGATTCCTCGGGGGTAGGGGACTCTCATAATTTCTCCAAGGTCCCAAAGCCTATTATATAATTTCCTAGCATAGCTAATGTGGGCCTGGTGTGAGGAATGCCCTGCAAGAAGAGAGTCTCAGAGGAGTTCCA